CAGGGTTTCGGGCGCGGGATAAGACGTGATAGGCGAAGGAGGGGGTATGCTGAGCAAGGACGATGTCGCTGAATTTGGAGAAGCTGAGTTCGCGATCGTCGGGGACGTGGGATAGAGCAGCAGAGGTCGGAGGACGAAGAGTGAGGGTGGGGTAGCGGGGATTGTGCCAGAACGTTTCGACTGTCACGTAGACACAGGCGGCAGTAGGGGGCTCATCACCCATCCACCCGCTCATGGCGGCAAAACTGTCACGGCCGATGATATCAACCCAACCCGGCGTCCTCTGCCGATCAAAGATCCGGCCGATCTTATTTTTGATCCAATCAAATGCTTCGTAGAAATATAACATGACGCGTATGAAGTTGCAAGCGAGAGTGACTGAGTTAGACGGGATGATAGTGGTGGTCGAGGGTAACGATGGCGAGCGTGGGTGCTGGTAGCAAGAAGCCAGTGGCTTTTTACATAAAAACTTCTGGCAACGGTTAATGGACATGTACGCCTAGAATGCCAAGGTGAACTATATTTAGTAATATTACATCATTTCCCTCCATATGTCTATCAGCGGCGCTTATATTAGTACGGACTTTGCCGAGCAACTTCATGTCCGCACTTCAAACACTTTTGAAGCGCGACAATGGTACGTTCTTCTAACTCTTTTTCTGGACTCAAACTTAACTATTTTATCATAGCCCCTGGAGAATTGGTATGGCCTCTAAAATAGTCTAATAAGGTGTGTACCTCTCTCTCTCTCTCTCTCTCTCTCTGTTCTCTGCTCTCTCTTTGTTTGTTCTTGTCTCTCTGTCTATCTCTCTGTCTATCTCTCTGTTTATCTCTGTCTATCTCTCTGTCTCTCTTATGTCCAAGCTGCTCCTGTCTCCATGTACATTCTCTGTATTCCTGCTGTATGTAGTATAGAGAAGGAAAATAAAAATTGAACTGAACCTCCATATCTGAGTGTGAATATCTGAGAATACTTCTGGATAAAAATCACCACAAATTTATAAGTAGAAACTTGAGGTCCTCCTATGAGAGCTATAGGCAAATATGAAAGCAATCAAATTTGGGATAGATACCCCACCTTGCTATCACAGCTAGGGGTAATATTATCCATTTTTCAAATATCATAGCTATGACACCTTGTAGCCAGGCTAATAGCAAAGTATGTATTTCCTGATCAGTGTAGTCAGTTAGTCCTTCAATCTTGTGCTGGGCAACCTTCGGTTGGAATCTTAGGGGTAACCAGGCCTGAGGTTTGCCGAAGCCACCGCCTCGGAGCTCTTGATCATCCCCACAGGTATCTTAGCATGTTGAGCTAAGGTGCAGGCACCCACCCCGCTCTTTGAGAGAACCCCACGTTGCCAGGGAGGCTTACCCAGGATTGGGTGTCATCTCGTCTGGCTGTGACATTATAGTAGAAAGAATTAGTAAGACTAGACCAAAGAGCAAGTCTTTACAGCGAGTTTCAAAATGATATGAAATTTAAGAAATCTGTGAGGTCACCTCGCTACAGCTGTGGGGCATGACTAAGCCGCAGGAACCTGATTGATTCTGTGCCACTCACTCTGAGGACATGCAGGCAGTCGCAGGCACTAGGGCCCCCATTGTAGCAGTGGCAGTGAAAGCTATATCATTCAGTATAGAGTACATGTAACTTAGTTAAGAAGAAAGACAGAATAATACATACTGTAGTTTTTCGACCAAGTGTTCGTGGGATAATTATGTCAGCCGTGACCACCGCTGGGCCACGGTTGGTTCGGGTGGGCCACGCATGACGAACAAGCGGAATTGTTCGCATTAGTTCCCAAAAATTGAATTTTGGGTGATTTTCAGTGCAGATTCGTCACGATCCTGTTCGTGAACCCGTGTGTATACGTGACCCTGGGACCAAAGCTGTTCGCCGACGCCCTCTGCGTGATGCGTGACGAACACTTGGTCGAAAAACTACAGTAATCAATAAATTTACAGCATTGCCTCCTCCAAGAATGGAGGGGCATGAAAGAGATTGAGGTGTGGTTGGTGATAAATGGTAGTACAGTATATGTAGTAGAAATTCAAGAGTGAGGGTTGAAGGTTACAGGAGGATGACAGAGAAAGGGGATTTGGATATGGATATACCTACTACATATACATGTCATTATTGTCTGTTGTGCTAGCCTCGAGTGGGGTGTATCCGTACGGAACAGGTACCATCATCCGAAGGCACTCACAGAAATAGCTTTCGTCCCACTCCTCTGATCTGGGCCCGTTATAGTCCACACTGGGGCCCCAAAGGTGCTTTGCCTCTGTATTATGCTTCCTTGGACGCTCAAACAATACCTTGGCTGGCTTCTCCAATTGGCCTTGCTCTTCGTCATGTGAGCTATTCTGTGGTGCATCCGACTCTTCCAAGTGGGGATGTTTTGTAAAGCGCCTGTTATACCAGTCCTCTGCACCATGCTTCAGACTAATCGGTTTGATTCACAGCTCCCTCAGGTTGTCGTCCTTGGTCAGTGCAATAACATCTGGTCCATACCCTTGTCCCTCAACCTTGCTTCAAATATCTTTGTATCTACAACACCAAGCTCCTTTTCTGCATATTCAAGGAAGCGGGGAAGTTTTGTGGGTGTTGGATGGACTGGAGTGGGGGAAAGAGTGCCAGACTTGGACGAGTAAGTGGCAGAGGGTGGTAGAGCATTTAGTGGTGGAGATGAGTGCAAAAGGTGTGTTATCAACTACGTTCAAACCACAAACAAAGGATAAAATGGTTGTTAGATGTCCGAGCTCACTGACTGGTAGACCCACAGTCGGAGCAAGGAATGCTGACGATCCACAACGGTCAGGATGCAGGATACATTCACGATGTGTCGGAATTAAGTTGTCAGTACCTGGTGGTCTGTTGATTGTGGCTTCACTTTCAATCTTGGAGAGAATTCAGTCAATACTAGGACCCACTACCAGAAGCTAGTACGCGCACTGGATAGTCTGTCCATTCAACCTCCATTCATGTCAGTGTAATTGTGAACGGTTCACCAAAGAGCTCAACATTTAAGTGCATTTTGACCCCAGATGTATTCTTCTACTTGCTAAAAAGTTTCTTGCGGAATTTAGATATCAGTCAGTCACGCTCTGTGTCACCCATTGTGTCAAATGCTGTGTCATGATCCTTTTTGATTCAAGCTTGTTGTCATGAAATGAACAAGAGCCATAAGAAAAAGGAAACTCACAATATCATTTGAACCATCACTCTTGCTACTAGGGAGCGCTGCCTTCGTCAGCTGGCAACCTTGCTTGATGGGTTGACCGTCGCCCTACGGAACTGACTTGCCCATACTATTTTTCTTTGAGAAAGACTTCAAGTTCACGGTGTAACAGTGGCCCCTGGTCTCATAACCATGGTAGGTAGCTGATCACACTTTCCCTATTCATTCACAGTTTCCCAACAAAATGCCCGCACTTTTTCTCCGGCGCCACGCATGCTACTCACTGGCATAGTGTTCTTTGACTCCTACATTGTCATTTCACCCACACCTCACTCCATATTATATGACTGCACATAGCTGAATGCTGTGTTGCCCTCATCCGTGACTTTATTAGACATCATTCCCTCAAATTGAGTCCAATCTTGCCTGCATGAATGTACTGAACCAGTCGAGCAGTTCACTCAGCATGGTGAAGTGGTAAACCCGTCTTTTCACAAACTTCAAGAGCATATGGAGACCTAATAAAGTCATATCTCCGGTCTACAGGTTGTAGAGGACAGCGAGTCCCTTCGGTGAGTCGTGCTCATCATGCATGGTGGGGGGACAAAAAAAAGCTTCCCCTTCCGACCACCTAAAAGTTGCCTAAAAGTGGCACCGAGTCGAGTTTTGTATCCAGATCTTTGCCCTTTGAAACATCTTCTATCCAAGCCTCACCTTCTTCCAAAACGAACAAGACAATGGGTTGTCTGACCCTTCTTCTGGTATGGCTATGGGTTTGATTTGACGTGTTTCGCCCTGTGTTAGCACCATGAGCTTTGTGCCACCCACAAATGGTGGGCCATCCGACTCACGAAACTATCATGATACCCCGCGGGCTTCGATGACTCCCGCTCAGGCTTCGGCGGACAAGACAGGAGGCACTTCCACTTTTAACCAACGCCCAAAGAGCTCCCTTTCTTTAACCTGCAGATATAAGGAAAAATACATTACCTGGAATACTTAAAGCAAGCGAGAGACTCCTCGGCTATTCTTGTACATACCCTAGTGAGACCTACAGTAGCACCGTGACTGTCAGTGATTCTGATACGCCATCATTCACAGTAGTGGCTAAATAGTGCGTGCAGTCGGGGAGTAAACCCGGGAGTGAACCACCTGAGAACATTAATGAAGTTGCACATTGACCTAGCACTGTACGTGCAAACAGACGTGATCTCCTACAGACCAACATCAAAAATATATGTTGAAGGTGTTCAACGTGTCAAACAGAAGAGGTCACCCCAATTGCGACGGGTCGTAGTACGTTCATACGCAGGAGCGGCGAAGTAATTGTGGCAAACTAGGCTTCGCAGACTGAAGCGGACTACGTACAAGGGAAGTGCAGTGTCCGCCAGTTGTCAACCTTGATGGACTTGCAGCTATGCTACAAAATGCACACAATAAGTGCAGCCGGGAGTGACCTGCTTCAAGAGAGTAAGATCATGCGGGAGAGCGGTGTTGGACTGGAGTGGCGTTGACGCGTCCAGAGTGAGAATCTTTGTAGTGAGACTACGCCACAGTATTTGGCCATGTTTGTCTTTGGCAATCTTGGCGGCTTCAATTCCGGGGGTGGGAAGGACCTAGCAAGCAAGGTAACCACTCAGATCATCGCTATGACTAGCAAGCATACACGATTGTTCGACGGTCTTTGTATCAACATAGACAGTTACCAAACTCTGTGGTGCTTACAACATGCGCTCAACTTGCTTGTCCCAGTCAGCAAGGCTGCCAACATTGTAAGCCTTGTTTGCGCTAACATGAAAACATGGCATCATCAACTACATGGAAAAACTCATAGAAAGAGTCACAATACTAGTCTCGGAACCAGCCGTCTTCGGAGAGTGAAAAAGATGTGCAAAGCCACTCTCCTCAACGTCTGATGACTTTGAGTACGGCGGGGGGGGGGGGGGGGCGTAACGCCCTGTGTGACACAATCGATGACATTTGTGGAACTCAGACACAAGGGAATTGGCAATTCGGGGCGTGTCCGGAGAGGGTCTCGACTACGCGCAGCAACATGTCCTGACACGCTCCGAATGTCTTTGTATGGCACCGTGACGCGCTGAACAGTTACATTGCTTTTGTACATCTCCTCTACCACATCCTACAGTTATAGCCAATTCACTTATTTCCCACAATATCTCTGTCTGCCATGCCTATCGCCAACCCCACTACACTCGCAAAACTTTCATACCTTCGTGAACCTGCCGAGAAACAGAATGAAAGAGCTAAGCAGTTGCTCGGGAAGACTCGCCAGCAGAAGGCTCAAGACTCACACCGGCCATATAACTCTACTGAAACTCGAGAAGCTGTCACCAAATATTTTGACGAGCTTCCTGATCTTCACGTCACCCCATACCACTGGCAGGCAGGGCATGCCACAATTATATCCGTGCGAGTATTTGTCCCCTCAGAGGCCTCTCTTTCAATGCTGCCACTGTAAATACACACCAAAAATGCCGTGGAATGGATGGCAATGGGCAACTAGGTGTCTTTGAAGTCGAGCTCAAATGTGAGCTCGATGCTGCTTTCAAGGCGGTGGTACTGTACATTTTCGACCTAAAGTTCATCCCCGGTCCACCGGGGCCACCAAACTGAACCTGTTCGGGGGGACAGTCCACTGTCCCCTCCCCTTGTGACATCATCATTTTAGGTATATTTGATGGAACATTTTCTATGTTTTCTCAGAACCCAACAAAAAACATACTCAGAAAGGTAATTGTCCCCTGTTTCCCTGAGCTCAACAAACTTTGGAGGGGGGCCAGGCTGGCTTTGGAGGGTGAAGTTCTCATGCCACTAATGAACTTCAGGTCAAAAATCTACAGTACTCTAAAGACTGAAGATCACTGGTAATGAATAAGCTTAGGGCCCATTCCGCAGTGATTTGGGATGGTGTACTTACCAGGGCATGCCACGAGTACGGAGACCCATGAGTACCTGCCATGGATACTCGTCAGGCACACCATCAGGTACCTGTATCCGTGGATACAGATACTCGTTCCCACGGGTGTGTGCATGGATATAGGTCTAATGCTGGGGCTCACAGGAAAAATATCAAGTGTTACTGTAATCGTAAGTCTTCTTCCCACTATTGTGAAACAGCACATTTGCTAATGGATATAAGGGAGGATTGCTACTCGGAGGTCTCGCTGCTTGGCTCACGACACCTCCCCCTGTGGCGACAAGGTTCGACTACAGCACGCGTGGCCCATATATATGCCTCCTCGTGTCGTTTGCTTTCACCTGGGGAGGTCTCATCGCTGGCTCCGTCCTACTGTACACAATACCAATGTGTACAGGATCATGGTTCTTTCAGGTAGGTGGCCTCGCGTCGAATTTGAAGCTGTCCATCCTGATACAATGACAGACCCTGATGGGCACCCGTTCCCACGTCTGTTGCACATTACTCCTGATCACATATCCTTTCCTTTCCATGGGTTTCGCGACCGCCGTTGGGACCATTGGTAAGTCCGCTTCTCCCTCTGCCTTGGCACAGCATATTCATCACAATGCGCACCTGTAGGACTGCTCTTGGCTGCATGGAACTCGGAGGACAATATCATCCGGATTGGCTGTGCATTTGTCGTCCTTGTACCGGCGTCTTTGGCCTTTGTGGGGATGTGGACACAGAGGTACTTGGTAAGGGACTGGGTCCTGAATGAGACCCACTCACGAACTGTCCGGTCTTCGGGATACCGAGATCACACACCCTGAGTTGATCTGTGCTCCATTTTATGCATATTTCGATTGCGACTGACTGATGTTGTGGTATTTTGGGGTATACGGCATCCGATATCACAGAGCCCCAACTGCTGAAAGCTCTGTCACTATCTTGACGGAGTAAATGTTATGTCAATTCTCAGTGTTTGATGTGTTGTCCTGACACAAGGTACATAAGCCACAGGTTGGTGCTTTAATGTGATACTCAGAGACATAGTGAGTGCAGACATAGAGTACCTGCCATATTTGGTATTTCCAGGCCGGAGCTTTCCGGAGGCCCGATGTTTGTCCAGCGACTCTCTCTCCTCGCTCTCCTCCTCACTCTCTCCCACTTTCCCGAGCGTACACCACTGTGTGATGGAATTGACACGTCGTGTCGCCGTCAATGGTGGTGCTGCTCATTCTGTGTACTTGTTTCCATAAGGGTCTCGCGGGTCTCGCGGGTCTCGACTCTCTGAGTAAATGAGTTTGGAGTCCCACCCCTTGCCATCGTAAAATCGTGCGTTCTCGCTCAATACTGCATACATTTTGTATGTAGCACCATCAATCGACGCGTCTTGAGCTCCTGCATCGGGCCGTGTATTTTGTTTGACGATAAACAGCCCGCTCGCTGTTGAGAACGGCAGTGTTGACCCCAGTGAGTGCCCACTACCCCCTCAAACCGTAAATCTGTCTGTTCTCCCTCAAATCACGCGTTGGTCTGGAAGTAATGACACCAATCGACGCGCCTTGATGTCCTGCATCGGGCCCTGTATTTTGTTTGACGGGAAACGGCCCACTCGTCGTTGAGAACGGCAGTGTTGACCCCAGTGAGTCTCCACTACCCCTCCAACCGTAAAATTGTCCGTTCTCACTTGAATCGGCGTGCATTTCCGAAGTGGTGGGCTCTTCCAACGCAGATGGATGTCCTGCATCGTCCCTGGTACTTTATTTGGCGAGAAGCGACCCGTTCGTTATCAAGAATGGCAGTGTTGACCCTGGTGAGTCCCCATTACCCCTCCAACCGTAAAATTGCTCGTTCTCACTCAGTTTGGTGCGCATTTCCAATGTATCTGAATAAATCGATGCATATACACCTTCTTCAATGCCGCCTGCACTTTGTTTGATCTGATTCGGCCCACTCATTGTCGAGAACAAAAACATTGACCTAGTGAGTACTCCCTGCCCCCTTCTATCGTAAATTTGCTCGTTATCACTCAATTCCGCGTACATTTGTGATGTTGCATGGTCGATCGTCGCATTTGGATGTCCCGCATCGCCTCCCATCCTTGCTTTGTTGCAATTCGGCCCACCCGTCGTCGAGTACGATGGCATCGACCTGGTGAGTACCCCCTACTACCTCCTATTGTAAATTTGCTCTTTCTCACTCATTTCTGCGTGTATTTGTGATGTTTCGGGGTCGATCAACGCGTGTTGATGTCCTGCATTGCCCCCGTACTTGACTGGATGCAATTCGGCCCCTTCATCGTCGAGAACAACGACATCGACCTGGTGAGTACCCCCTGCTACCTTCTATCATAAATTGGCTCGTTCTCACTTAATTCTGCGTGCATTTGTGATGTTGCAGGGTCGATCGACGCACGTTGATGTCCCGCATCGCCCCCTATACTTGGTTTTATGCAATTTGGCCCACTCGTCATTGAGAACAATGGTATTGATTTGGTGAGAATCTCTCTACTGCCTTCCCCAGCTTATATTTACCACAGTACCAATGGGTACCCCTCAGGTACCTACAGCATACCTGTAGATTCATTCTATCCATGAGTACCTGTATCCGTGGATATGGATATCCGTTCCCACGGATGCCACCCCAGATACAGGTGTGGCTGCCAGCCGATCTTTTCTGGCCATCCATATCTCACCGTCTTCCAAGCACGTCCTCCAAAGCTCTTCTAGATCCGTCCGCTCATATGTGAGCAGACACAGGCCCATGAACATAAGCCGAAAGATGGAGGAGATTGGGTATGGCAATGGCCACTCGTCTAGTCTCATATGCTTGGGCATCTGTCTCAGAGCCGATGGGGGATTTAATGTTTCTTCAATCGGGCGATTCGGATAAAGAATCGAGCTCTGAGGCGCAGAGGGGTAAGGTTGTGCGACTGGAAATGTAGCTCTATGAGACAGGATATCGTATGGTTGAGAGAACATAGGAACAGTGTGAAACGAAACCTAGTAGAGCAGTGGCGATTTATAGAGAGTATCGAAGACTGTCTCACACGTACCATGTCAAAGCCGCACACATACCATGAGGAAACGGCGCGGGATCCTGTAACAGTTCATCAACAGCGACACCGGGAATGAAGCACGAATAGCACTGGCCCCGGTGAAGTGGAAGTCATGATGCATGAAGGAGTGCGACGACATGAATAGAATGTACTCGTGTCCACGCCCCAGTAAGACAGTGATGATGTGGCACATTTGTGGCATGTTTACTGTACCTCCCAGACGTTAGGTGACGTCCGGTGTCCCGAGGGGCCTGTCGCGTCGCCTATATGGGCGCTTGTCCCAGTGTCCCGAGGGTCTTGTTGCCTAGGATAATATATTCATATTTTCTCCTATTTTCTTCAAAAAAAGACATAAAATTGTTTTAATTAATGTTTGGATACAGAAGCACCGTAGTGTGTAAAAATCACTCAACAAAGCGACGTGAAAGCGACAACTCGCACTACTGTGACAGTTTGTGGTCACTGGTACTCGACATCCCTCAGCAGCTGTCGCCTGTGTCCCGCTGTCCCAAGCAAGGGGGTCGCGAAGCGACGCCAAAATACACGAGGTCGAATTCCGACGTCTTATTGGGCACGGAGAATTGTCCCGATTTTTTCGGAATCTCAAAGTTCAAAATTGATCCGGGGGGAACATTTTGTGGATATCTGAGAATATCCGCTTTGAATATTCTGACATTTTATACGATTTTTCCTCGCTCCTGTAAGCCAGTCCCAGTTTCTCGAGGACGGGCACCCTAACTACCTACGTAATAAAATTACTATATATAGTAGTAAGTTCCCAGCGAATTCCCTTTACAAGCAGGTGCTTCGCACGGTACCCCCGTAGCGGTCGCTTCGCTCCCGCGACCCCCTTGGTCCCAAGGGTCCGTCGCCTCCTTGCGGGAGTTCCCACGTTATGTAAGCGGTCGCCTAACGTCTGGGAGGTACAGTACGCAGTCTTCAAGACTGCCATCAACTGCGATAAGGTCCCATCGGCGCTTTTTGGTAACCAATATTTGGTGTATTTTCTAGCATATCTAATCTGCTCAGCCTCCATCGTTGAGGTAGGAGACATTCACATATATCCCGAGCAGACCGTGGACAGCTTACTGACAATGACATAACTGTTTTAGCAGCGAAGTTGTGGGTAAGGTTTGAGAAGTGGGCGTGGTCATCGTTTAATCTCAACGAGCCCACGAAAGCTTGTCCTCGTCGTGAATCATAGACCATGTATATCGGGTACTTTTCGACAAGGGTCAAGCTTCCGGGTTTAAGATGTACATAATGGTAAAGGTTCGTTCTTGATGCTCTCTTCCACCGCTAGGAAACGAAATTTACATGCAGTCTTGCTCTATCCGGTAGTGGGGGGGTGCTAAACTCTAAGAGGCCGGATTGCACGATGATGCTATACATCGAGCCGCAGAAATGGGGTACATTCGGGGAGAGGGGTATCTGAGGCAGCTACTCCCTCAGAGCAAACGGAGACGGGGGTTCTCCGATGATTCCGTCCTGCAGACTACCTTCTGTCCTTCAATTCCAGCCTGCGCATAAAACCCACTACCACTCATCCAAGGATCCATGGACTTTTGTGTCGCAGCCTCAGATGATTAGCTGTAACTTCAACACAAACAGAAAGATGCACCGAATCACACAACATCTGAACTAGCCCGACTAGAGCAGGACTACGATAACGGCACGTTAAGCATAAAAACAAGCCTACAAGCTTATACATATTGATTCCTTCTTATACTAGTCTTTCTTGGCCTACACCCCTTCCGACACTCTTCTTATCCTACAACCTTATCGCTCAACCCTATGCAGTAGCTCTTGAACGACAACGTCTTACAAATCCACGGGCAAGTTAGGAGTCGGGAACTCTACTTCCATATGCTCCGTCTATAGCCATCGACGTACACAAACAAAGGAATACGTCGTCAGTGATATGTTCTGTTTCAGCCGTAAACACGCGCGCTTCGAACAATCGCACGAGAAATAGGATAACGTTCGAAAAGAGACACCGGGCGGAAGCATGAGCTGTGACCATGCACTGTGATTGAGAGTGCAGGCCATGACAGTTCGAGCTCGTGGAGCATACTCCCACAGTATCGCCATCGGAGCGCAAACCACCCAAACGCAGAGCGCAAACTGATCGCACACCCCATACACAACGGAAGGATTCCGAACAAAAATGAGAGCGAAAAAGGAACACTCACATAATGCCTAAAATGAATCTTCTTCCCAACTTCCGCGATCTCCTTCACCTCCGCCTCCGTAAGTGCTGGCATTCCAGCACTAAACACTTCTCCCAACTTCTTAATGTTCTTCTCGTTGCCCGATGCGCTGACGGCCACGGCGCCGGAGCCGATCGTCCAGAGGAGGAGGACTTCGTGTTCGGTGATGGGTTTGCCTGTTGCGTGCGTGAGCGACCGAATGAGTACGTTGATCGACGTGTTGAGATGGGAGTATGGATAGGAGAGGTAGGCTTACCGTATTCTTTCGTCAACCTCTCGGCGATCCTGGCCAAGATAGGCTTGAGAGGCCCGCCCTTCGAGGGATGACGCAGGACGGGAGTGAGAGGGCCGTAGGCTTCGGTGATGATGCCGTGGGCAGATTGGATGGCGAGAACGGGGGCGAGGTGAGAGAGGACGAAGGGATGGTATTCGAGTTCTAGTGGAACACAATATAGAGTTAGATGGTACAAACATGTTGATTATACGAGGACGAAAGTGGGTGCGTGAAAGACGCGGAGGAATGATAAAGTGCGAAGGGGATGGACATGCATGATAACGTACGGTTCACGACTGGCTTGTATTTCGCAACCTTCAACACCGCCTCGAGATCCTGGGGACGGAAGTTCGAGACGCCGATAGACGAGGTAAGTTCGCCTTTGTCTTTCAGGTCCTCGAGGATCTGCCAGCTACACGTCGCACAACATATCAATAATAAGCCCAAGACGAACACACAAACGGGAAGAAGTGGGCTAGGAAGGGCCTACAACTCGACAAGCTTGCCCGGCTCAGCAACGAAAGGGTTGTGCACAAGCAGCAAATCTGGCTGGAACCCGAGACGAGCGATCGTTTCTTGGACAGAGGAACGAACGTCGGCGAGTGGGATAGGGTCGGAATCGTTGATTTGAGAAACTGTATGTACAAATAACGATGGTCAGTTGACACGATAGATGCCGAGAGAACGAGGATCGCTCGAGAGGTACATACGCTTTGAAGTGACCCAGATGTCGGCTTTGGAGAAACCAGCGTTCGTAATCGCAAGGCCCGTCTCCTTCTCATTTCCGTAACCCTACATACATACCGTATTTGACCGAGAGAGAACGTAGCACACCATAACGCGTCTGAGGTCAATAAACGGTCGAGTTCAGGTCTAGACGAAGGCATACCTGAGCCGTATCGATATGCCTCAAACCGCCCCTCAACGCGATCTCTCCAGAAACAACTGCCGTCGTACGAGCGTTACCACTTCCATTTCCCCATCCAATAACGGGGATCTTCTTTCCGTCGAGGAGAGTGAAGGTCGAAGAGATGGTCATTTTGCTTTTTGGTAGGTCGAATCAAGTCAGGGACTTCTTGAGTTGCGTGGGGTGATGGGGATGTGGGGATGGTGTTATCGATGATGTCGCAATAGGAGAGGGTTTATATATGTAAGATTCAGAAGAGAAAGAGACGGGAAGGATGTGGGACTGCTGGGATCCACGGTCATGGCGAAGGTGTTGAATCCTCGATGATGTCAGCCTGCTTTAAGTTTCAACCGGAAGCCAAGCTGCAGCTCACCGGCCGATGCCGGTGTGTGGTTGCCACTGGGTGAACTCAGGTTCGAGTGACCTCCAGCCTCCACCTCTTCGCAGCCTCCTCGTCTCGCACTTTCACGCTCTCGTCTTCGATTTTCTCTCAGTCTTGCTTTCAAATTATTTTCCTCGGAAATTCTATGGCCACTCTGAAGTGAGTTTTTACCCGGTACGACTGGACCTCACAAAGTCCTCCCTGTCACCGAACTGGGTGATGGCGCCACTTCACCTCATCTGCAGACAATCCCAGGCGACCTAAGTATCCTAGTTGATGTTTTGTCTGGTATGCTGTGGTATGTCCAGCACATAAACGAGTACTGTTTAACAAGATGGGGTGCGTGTCCCGATTCTTTCATGTGTACGATGTAGCCACCGCGCTGGTAGATTGTTCTCAACAACATCAGTGTCCGCTGTATACACTATCTGTTATTCACTGGCTGCTTTCGGTAATTGCAGAACCTCCTCGCATGCATGTCAGTCGGATGTTAGCTTCTTGTAGCCAGTACTGCCCTTCTTTGCAGGCCTTGACTCGCGCATGCGAATTCCTCTTATTTCGTGTACCCCCATATGCCAGCGTCCTACCTCAGGTCATTGCACATTGACGAGCAATGCTTGAATGAGGGCGCAGGCTAACTTAGATTCGAGCTCAGCACCTCGCTTTCCAACCTCAGCTCAGGTTGAGTAGACCTCCTGGGGGACGTAGAAGGAGGTGTTGGGGTGCACAGGTACCTTTCGATTGCTGCAGTACACGATCACGCGATTATCAGAGTTCCGTGACCGAGAACGCCACCTGGATACCAGCATATGCAGTTCTTGCGGTCTGCGATACACTGCGACTAGTTGGCGAATTTATGTCGCTCGTCTGAGCTATGCGCTTCCCGTACTGGGCCTAACAACTAAGTTTTGATCGTATGGGCGAGTTCGCTGTGGTCAATAGTCTGACGGTTGAGAAGAACAAGGATTGTCTCCATCTCAGAGCGCCACGATTTTACACACCATAAAATGCGGACACCATTTAGCGTCTACAGACTACCAGATCCCCTCTTCACGAATACCTACCGGACCATTCCCAAGCACAATGAGCACGTCGACCCTTACTGTGGATACACCGTAAGTCAGCGTGCACTTGTATGGTTACCGCTCACATAGTTCTTGCCACAAAGAACGAATGTTAGTGTCTGCGGTGTGTTCATAGCGTATATGTCTCTGAGTATGTACCTGCAGACTAACTTTTCCTTCTAGAATTAGTACATCTTTCATGGAATGGAGGTACACCACCCTACAATACAAGTATCATATCATCGTCAGGTACGTCATTCCATCCTGTCTTCAGGCTGACCATCCTGGTACTGACAATCGGGCGTCCCATATATCTCTTCCCTAGATAATGATCACCTAGAAAGATTTCCTCCGCAAGAAACAACGAGTTTGGCCTGGATTGCTGACATATTGCATGGCGCGGAACTGTAAGTGCACGATAAGCTATCCCACTGAACATTCAGATCCATGGTCCTATCAAACTCCACTCACATCCAACGTGACTTCCTTGCACTTTGATTCACTGTAGGAGGATACAAGTGACAGACCGTGGAGGAAATACGAACACGTCAGATGAATTCATCATGGGCCAGTCGAGCAACTCGAGTACCATGTAAGTCGCTACAATATTTGATGGCAGTAAATAATTTATCGATGCCTGCCTTGGGTGCTCCACATAGATGCGCCAACATCGCAACCGTAACCGCCAGTGCGCCCTCCGACCAGTAAGTTACCCTACTATTCACTCCGCTGGCCCAACTCTGTCGTCTTCATATTGTGCTCCTTGCCCACCTTCTCGTACGCACCCACAGCACGTCAACGTTTATCTCGAGAACGACCTTTGCGACCACTATCTCAAGTACAATCTCGAGTTCCGATCCAAGTTCCAGTTCTCCTTCAAGCTCGAAACACGAAACACGTTTGACCAACGGGATCATAGGAAGCATCGCCGCATTGTGCGCACTTATCCTGATTCTCAGCATCCTTCTCGTGCGAAGAGTCATCCGACGGAAATACTCATCAGCTAATGACTCTGCGACGTCTCTGGAGAATCGCATCGAGGTGTTCACAGCCCAAGACGTAGAGTTCGACTCGCCTCAACATCTCATAGAGAAATCCCCGACTCAGAAAGCCTCCTCAAGCGAAGTAGTAACATTTCCTGTCACATCACCTACGTCCCCTATCGTGGAAATCGCACAACCTCCTCCTGCGAACATTTCCACTACTATAATGCAGGGATATCCACCGGGGGAAGACTATGGACTTGGAAGTCCAGTCCTTGAGGATATTCAGAGGAGATTGAGACAGATTGAGGCGGAGATTAGATTAACACCCCCTAGCTATGTCTCTGACGATATAGAAACATGAACTTGACGTTTACGACCGAAAACACTGTCGCGTGCTCGTTTCTCGATATACGGGAGGGACGGGGCCGTTATGCTGTGGCGCGCCACCAGTACTGGTAAAGCAAGAACCTCGTCGGCAAGCGCCGGACTCCGTTTTTCTTCCCTTCATCTTCGACTCGGTGGTTGCGCGTTCGTGAATCGTCTACTCTCGACACATTTATCTGACAAACTGTCGTCTTTGCGGCCCGCATGTACACAACCCTGCATATTCTCTGCATCCTTCTGAGATGTGGATACGGCTACCTTGTGAACGCTCCAGTGCACGATCAAGCAACAGAGAGATTCTCCTTGGTTCATCTAGACATCAGCATTTCTTACTTCCTTGAGGCCCTATGATATGTTATAGGCGGTGGGTGAAAAGTCAGTGAGTCTCCTATCCAATGAGCTGTGTACTTCCCATTCTAGGCTCAGCATCTATATCTTGATTGGATGGTCGGGTTTCTGGTTGGAATGGTCTGACGGTCAAGAAGTGCAATGATCATATCCATCTTGATGCGTCTCTAGGCTAGCCATTATAAAGCACGGACGCCGCCGTCTACTCTATGTGTCTCTACTCTCTGATCCCCTCTGCTAAGGACCTTCTGCGATGAGCGCGTCACCCCTTACCGTCGACACACCGTAAGCCGATAATTACTCGTAGAATAATCGCTCACATAATTTCATGCAGGGTAAATGTCACAGTCTGCGGTGCACCCATAGTTATATTGTTGGAGATATGCACACCTCGACTGACTCTCTTCATGCAGAATCTGTACAGCTTTCATGGAAGGGGGGAAAGCCATCCTATAACATAAGCATCCTTTCATCGCCAGGTATATCTCTTCGTTCTGTCGCCAGGCTTTACCATAGAAGCACTCACAATGTGTTTGTTGTGTAAGGCGGGGACCTTCTCCGAATATTTTCTCTTCAAAAAGGAACGAGCTGTGACTGGACCGCCGATATCTCCAATGAAACAGCCCTGTAAGTCTGCGACAAACCTATTTACGCCTGTTCTTGTCTCATGTCATCTTTTTGACTGGGTCGAACACAGAGTACTACAAGTGACAGATCAATATTATAAGACGAAGCTATCGAATCAGTTCACCGTGAACCAGTCTAGTCTTGCGGACACGTCGTCAGCCGCTTCTGTCTCATCTGTGTCGCAGTCAACGACTCATCATTGCATGTTTTGGGTGTTCTCCCAGATGCATTAACACCGCGTCCGGCGTCGTCAGCGAACTCTCCACGTAAGTCAACCAGTCATAGACTTCCTACCCGCAGCTATATCGTCCTCAATTTGCCGTCCTCGCCGGAATCCGTGCACAGATCTTCACCTATCGCATCGACACTCCACAGCACTACTTCCGTCGTGGCTACCAGTACCCCGGATGGTGGACTGTCCGAGTCTACATCTCACTCAATAACATCAACTACGTCTACCAGCCAATATCTGAGCCCCGGCCCAAGCGGCGATTCCACATCGTCACTGTCTACACACTCGAACTCTGGCCTATCCAAAGGCACCATCGGCGCCATCACAGTAGCACTCATCACATTGGTCACCCTCATCATCGCTATAGTCCTCGTGCGGCGTGCTCGCAGACGCAAGTCCATCCACGACGCTTCGGTTTCATCATGGCCTCCCGAAGTCTACATAGAGACGTTCACCGCACAGGACTCAGATCTTATCTCCTCCACAGACGGCCTTACCAAGGCTACAACGCGCGACGGCGCACAGACGTCTACTGCAGGCTCTGTGTCTGATGCATTGTCTCCTACCGTTGAGAAGGCCCCGGCAGCAAGTGCGCTTCAGAAGTCGGTGGTTGGCGATATTCGGTGGTGACTGGAGACGAGATGCTTTCTATTCATCACCCTTTAGAAACATCCCAGATGTTTAGTGTAGATATATACAGGGATCTTGGCATATGCTTATCATATTTATAAAGGAGTGAAGAACGCAGGGAATGAATCGATGTGCGTAGTGGCGCGCCACACGAAATGTGACATGAAGAAGAATCCTTCCCGGCAAGCGCCGTACACTTTTCTTCCCGTTCGTCAACCAGCTCTTCTTCGAATTCGTCACCTCATAGCACTATCTGCACATGCTATATGTCAATATAGACGAAGATTATGCATCTATGTGCAGTAATTGGCGCTGAGTACGGCCGATGTATCAGTATGTTAGCACCATGACTGCGACTTGTTTGCCACCTCCAACAATTAAACGCATTTGTCAGCACATGGTAGTCGTGTCGATTGGTTGTAGTACGTCCTTTTCACTGTTCTAGAAAGGACCGTGGTACAGATTCTGATCTGAACAGCACTAGTCCATGCCGTGCTAACTTACTCCCAGCACGACAGAGCCAGTTTTCGATTTTATGGTCAGGTAAGTGCATCAAAATCTCGACCTCCCCAATATCTTGGGCTCACACGGGCAGTAAAGAAGGTGGGCTTCTCTCTATTTTTACTTTGTGGGTTCATGCTACATTGTAGCAGTCGGCGTCTTGTCGACTTCGTTAGACTCGGTTAGAGTGATAACGACTAGGAACCGCATGCTCCTTGGCAGATACAAGGTAGAGCCAGACAATCTACATGCGTCCCCCGTGGGCATGGTTTACGTGCCTTCCTCTCTCTTCTTAATTATGTTGCTTCTTCTCGAACAACAAACGAATCCATCTGAACTTCCATCCAAAGACCTTAGGACGGCACCCCATGTGGTGCACATGGTGGGCGAAGAACATCTGCGGTCAGCATGGCGGCCCTCTACATCTCATTATCTTCACACTTATAAACCGCTCTTCTTGTTTCGAAGCCATATGAGACACAAGCGTTTTTGAATACCGGGTAGATCACCAGGTGGCGCAGAAGTCATCGGGATCGCAAACAAAGTTGAGCATCCCGTCAGATCTGTTTACGGACCACTGTGAACATGACGTATACTACTAAGGATGCGCCCTACCTCCACTAGGTGCAATTTAATTGCACGCACGTCCTACTGCTCACAAGATGGACTGAAACATAGCACACTCACTTTCTAAAGCTCTGATTCTGGCTTTCCTTCGTGGTTCCCCATTGTACTGCTAGAGGCAACGGGGCTGTATCCACCTTTCGTCCTTGTCGTCATCTCACGGGGACGCGTTGTTCTGGATAAGCACTGTCTCATCCAACACGCGTCAGCCCATGCAGAAATGGACTCTTGGCCCTACAACCAAGATTGTCTTCGACTCTTTTAGCACTCACGAGCTTCATGTGCCCCGCGACTAATGCATGTGGTCATACCTACATTTCCTTTCTTACCATTCTTCTTATGAGCGATTATCCCCCCTATCGCCTTAGCGTCGTAATACCAGTGTGAGCGATCTATCGGGAAGCCATAACTGTGGTCTGCAGTCAGATCCAGAATGACTTGCAGAAGCTTTGGCAGACGCGCGCGACTTCATACGAGACTTTGATATGGAATGGTAGCGGCGATCTCCATTTCTCTCCGTTTTATTCGAATTATTTTCGATTGAATGATCGTCGACTCTTTTGTTCACGCTCGAGAGGAAAGAACTCCCCCATACCTTCAGACTAGCCGTCACCGAGTAATTCTCCTTACGATGACTTAGGGATTCAATGCTCTTGCACTTACACATTGTTCACTATCACCCTCTCGGTTTCTCCACGGAGCCGGATACGACAGTGCGTATGGCCAAGGGCGCAGGTGACATGCAACGCAAAAATACACTACTGTACTTCAATTCAAGAACTACTCGAGCCCTTCATGAGGCTATTTTTGTTCTCCGCCCGCGGTTGATTCATCGTGCCTTACTCGACGATAGCCATTCTACTCTAGTTTCGTCCACATCGCTCGTGCGACTCCCGATGGGACGAATCAAACTCGATTTTTATCACGGTGAATGCGCTTCATATTCGCCCTCATGTGTATCCATCAGGAATGCAGCACGGTCGCCGCCACAGTGGCGCTAAAACGCTTTAGTCCTATCCTGCGAGCCAGTGGGTATGGCCTCAGAGTTTTGTGTTTTCGTTATCGTCTGTCATTCTCATCTCTGTACTTCCGCTGACTATGAGCCACTTTACATTAATCTCCCGCATCCCATCGATGAAAAACATTCGAATGTCAGACATAAAGCCATTGGCTATTCCCTAGGACAATACTCGCAACTTGTTCGCGGCCCACGTCTTCTGCAGCAGTGATTATGACCATAAACCTGACCCCATCACATTCTGCTCTTACATTGCTCGTTGCCGATCTTTCAGCCTAGGCCCGGCGTTACCTCACTTCGGTGCATACGAAAGCAGCGGCGTTCGTGCATCTGTTTCTCGTCGACAAATATATTGCTGCATTCCGGCCCTCGATGACCAGCGCCATACATGGTCACCCAATGGAAACAATTTTCCCTTTGGCCCGCGGGGTAAGTTCTCCTTTTATCTAGTGCGATGATTTACTTGGGGCGAAGATTTCCGTGCTGTGCTTGTTCCGCATCCATCGGGCGTTGTCCGACCACTGAGGCGGATCATAGCTGAGCGCTGATCTTCGTCAGGGTGAAGACGCTTCATCTTGTCCTCGGTATGCAGGTTGGGAAAATGCCCCAGGCTCTTGGGAGCAGGGAGAGGAGAGAATAATCATCGAGCGGAACGTCACCGGCGAACATATCTCATGTATGTTTCAGAGGTTGTGGTCTTGGTCCCGCGTGAAGCGCTTCGTGGTGCATCGACATCATGTATACTGCCATACAAGCCGAAACGTCCGCCCGGTCACTTTGCTACGGCTGGAGTCGCTCCATATTTCACCTGTCAAGCGCAAAACCCTAGAGATTATGATTATCCCCGCGCTGGACGTGGACGTTCCTTATTACGACTCTCGATATCATTTAAGTCACCCTGTTGGGATAGGTCCATTTCATTGGGTGGAGAGCATGGGTTACTCATACTGAATCGCCGGTCCTGCATTGACGTGCTGGCCTACACGATGGTCTCAGCATCTGCTGAGCGTGTTCGACGTCGCCGTACCCAAGGCTGACTTGTATACAAAAACTCGAGCTTCAACTTCTTTCTTCTAGCTCTGCACTGTTAACCGAACGGCCTTGTAAACGCTGTCATACCGTAAGTTCGTCTGCTTCTGAGTCACCGCCAGCGAGCCTTTCTCAAGTAATTGATGCTCAAACTGAGGTCCTACGGTCGCGAGTCACTGTGATGCTTAGGTTCCAAGAGTTCTGCTAGACATCGGACGACTCAGGCTAATGACCGTCTTCGCTATCGAACGCTTACGAGGTTTCGTTGGTCTCGGGATCGGACATTCTATACTCGTCGCCCCGGATTTATCGTCTTCATACACTGAGTCGTGTTGCAAGCACATTTTCACTTATGCAGCAGTAGTCAGCCCGATCGTGTCCTTTGACCCCAACGAAAACGAAGAATCCATAACTTCTAGCTTCTAAAGTCGATGGCCCTCTACCTTCAGTTCCCACTTCGACGGGCAAACAAGTATCCAAATTCGCCCTAACAATGCATGAACAACGTCAGCCGTCCGTTTAATATAAAAACTTCACCAGGAGGACAGAACACAAAGACCGGAACCACACCACGCCACACCACATTCCTCGCCACGAATCATACCAGTAAGCTTCAAATATCACTACCCTCCCTCCACGCTAGTACTCCCAGAATCACCTGAATCCAAATCCTTCCCCGGCAATAAACCCGGTCCCCGACGGCCGTCGTCCTTCAAGAACCAACAATCAAGGATCAAAGCCTGACGCCGGAGCATAGACGCATGGAAGCTTGGAGTAGCACTGTATGAAGTACGAAGATCCACATGCACCACCAACCTTCCTTTCCGAGTCCAGAGCACTCACTAATAACTGACAAGCCCTCGATGTTCAGCGCTTAGCTTCCAACTTCCAAGCAAACCGAAGACGGAACTGTCACTGAGAAAATGAAGGTCCCCGTAGCACACGGCTCACGAGCCGAGGAGCTTCATCCCCATTCGCCGGATAATTATCAAGTGAAGGTGATCTGCCTTCGTGAGCAGGACATGAAGCCACTCCTACTCGAGCTCATGCACACGGCGAAACGAACGGCCACTGGTATCCAGTGTCCAGAGCCCGCCAAATCGAAAGCGAAAGCGAAAGCTAAACCCCATTTCGAAATAAGTACGACACTTCCATCGACATCACTTCCGAGCTCTCCAAAGTCCCAAATTCGTGCCCGGCGAGCTCCAAAGTACTTACCCTCCGAGCCCATCGGCTAGAGTCTGTTCGCAGACTTACTCACCCGCAGAGGATGCAAGAGCCAAGAAGGACGCCGATCGCAGTCAAAGCCAAACTTTACGCCCCGAGCGTTTCGAACGAAGATACGTGGACTGCACGCCTTTTAGCCCGGGTTTGTAAATCACCCTTAAGAGAACTCTTCACCTTGTTGGATAAGTACTTCGGGCGGTTTAAGCTTGAGCGTGTCAGCTGTGAGCGAATCATCGTCGGAGCCACGGAGCCACCGTGGTGCCAGTGCGCACAGAGACGATCCCGACGCGTCACTTGGTCCAAGTTCTACGATTTCGACTACTTAGATAGCGTACTCGACAAGACGAGCCGTGAACTTCAACGTTGAGTGAACACTGAACCTGGAAAAATGACACCGTGACGTGTGGTGAGAGAGAGCAAAAATTCCGTGGTATCAAATTATAATTACACCCAAATCCCAATACAATAAATCCAAGAACCCAAACAGCGACATAAATACCAAAATTACGTAATCACCCCACCCAAAAATAACTTATCCACTTATCCTGATTCCTAACATACACGTAATTTTAAATCCTATCGTACTTTGTTCTAACAAATGCCTAATGCTAATAAATTATGCGGCCTTTTGTTTTAGCCTTTGCATTGCTTTTTCGTTCGTTCGTTCGGGTGGGTGGGAGAACAAACGAGTGTGTTGTTGTTGTCGACGGAGCGTGATCGCGTACGAATGTACGGTACGAGACCGAGAGACCGAGACTGAGACCGTCAGTCCGAAGAAGGCGGGTGGGTGGAGTCCAAGTGGGGCGACGAGACGATGGTAGGGATGGAGGGATGGAGGAGAGGAAGGGAGGATGAGTGTGAGTGTGAGTATGAGTGTGGTGATGAGGAGTATGTATCTATGAGGGAGTAGGGAGAACCGAGTCCAGCGAACACTAAATAACCGAGAACCGAGAAAGGACAGTACAGCATACAACGTAGCGCCTAATAAATAACCTTCAACTTCAACGTATAACTTTTCAACCCCAACACGGAGAAAGAATTATACACCAACAAACGCACGAAACCCTCAAAAGAATGGAAAGCGCATGCACCGGACCGATCCCCCGGCCCGGCGAACCCACGCAAAAATGGAGAAAAACGCAATCGCGCAATAATAGAAAAAAGGAAAGGAGAAAATCAAAAGGAGAACGGAAGCAAATGACCCATCGCGAACGACAAAGCACATCCCGAAAAGGAAGCACAAGAGCCTAACTAAGTAAAGAAAAAGAGACGCCAACGAGATCACCGGATCCGGGGACCGTGCGGGCACCGGAAGCAAAAGAGCGTGATTGATGATTCACGATGGGAGGGGATGGACCGGGGGGACGAGGCACAGCGAACAATGCATGCCGTGACGCGCGGGGGAGGAGGACAGCGAAGCGATGGGAAAGAAAAGCAAGACGATAACGTCGAGCAAAGGGGGGAGAGGAAGACAAAAACGGGACTTGAAATAGGCAATTGCCGAATAGAAGGATAGGAGAAGTGAAGAAGACGGAGGGGTGGGAGGATTGGAAACGTAGTATGGAACACGGCGGAGACCGATACGGCCACGATATCCAAGGCCACCGACGCCGAGCGACGCGTGTAATGAAGTGACGGCGATGACGATGACGATGGCGCAACGGCCAGCGAGCGAGGTTTTGGAGTGCAGAGGTGAGGGGGTGATGAGGTGGCAAGAGGTCGGGTGAGGAGCAGGAGGCGGGACAATGTCGGGTGTGGCGTTATCGGCAGTGAAGTGGCATCCGGTGGCCGCGGATCGAAGCGAAGCTGAAGTCTCGGAGAAGCTGGGCTTGGGCCGCGGAGCAACGCCACGCGGGCGGGGAGAGGTTGAGTGGAATGAAAAATGACAATTGGAGAACAGAAGACCAGAGAGCAGGAGAGCACCGGAGGGATGGAAGAATACAGCGGGGAGAACAGACCATTAAGAAGTTTAACAAACAACGCAGGCAGCAAGCAGTAGCACGAAACAACAAGTGGGGAACTTGTAAGCGGACAGTAAGAGCGGAGCGGGGGGCGGGGGCAGAACAAACGAATGGCAAGTAGGAGTGAGTGAGAGGGGTGGGGTATACTTTGCTCGAACGAGCTCGACGACGACTAAACGCGAGAAAAAAGAGAAAAGTTCTCGATAATTTCCTCACATCATCATCGCAAACCCATTCGCGTTTCCCCCTCCGCCAACCGAAATCGGCGACTCCCTCCACATCGCGCCCGAGCCACCCATCCTCTTCCCACCGAACGCGTCGAGCTCATAACTCCCACTCCCAGACGAGTTACTCCTATGCAACGGCGGCGATCCGTACCCGCTCCCGGTGCTCATGCTCGCGCTGCGGCCCCTTGCGCCGCCGCCAATGCTAATAGGTCCGATATTGTGCCCGTGACCGGATGACCCGACGGAGGATGCGTCCTCGTTATCGACCGGACTGCCGAACAGGTGTCCATTGCCCTGCATCTGCTGCTGCTGCTGCTGGCGCTGCATATTGGCGAAGTAGGCGCCGTTGCCGAACTGGGCGGCGCTGTTGGGAGCGGAACCGTGCGATGAGGCGGGAGGAGAGAACATGTTGTTGCCGTACTGCTGTTGTTGCTGTTGTTGCTGCATCTGCTGCGCGGCGTAGAGCTGGCTGTTCCAGTTCGCGACCTTGTCCATGTCGGGACCGTTGCCGCCGAGGCCATTGAAGCCGATGTTGTTGAAGCCCTGCGAGGGAGAGTCGAACAGGGGGCCCATCGCGGGGTTCTCGAAGTTGACGCCGGAGAGACCCTGGGCGACCATCGGGCGAGGGAGGATGTTCGAGAACTGGGAGGAGGAGACGTTGTGCCCGCCGTAGGGGTTACCGCCCTTGTTGCTCGGGTAGAGATCGATATCGTCGATGATGGGCATGGAGCTCATGTTAGGCACTGCGATATCCTGCCCTTCGTCGCCGTAGTCGTCACCGCCGTCTTCCTCGTCCTCCATGCCGGGGATAGAAGTGAGGACTTCGACCTCGCCGGAGAGGACCATGGCGAAGGCCTCGGAGCGGACGGGCTCTTCGACACGGGGGAGGTTGGCGCGGTCACGCCATTCGTTGAGCTCGCGGCGGAGGGCGTCGGATTCGAGCTTAAGGAGACGGACTTCGCGCGAGGCGAGGAGACGGTGGCGACGGGAGGCGTGGATGTGGGCGATGGAGGAGTTGACGATCGCCGACTTGGACGGTCGGCGGATCTGGGAGAGGTTGGGGAGGAGCGCGGCGAGGTCCTAAAGAGTCGAGCAGATAAGGTAAGTACGATACGGAAAGTGGAAAGGAGAGAGGGACAGTCGTCAAGGGAACAGGGAGGTGAAAAAAGAAGAGCAGCGTACCAAGAACCGGCTGTTCAGGGTCTCGCGGCGCTGACGCTCGACGGCGTTATGGGTCGCCCTACGCTCGGCGGTGTTCGCCCTCCTGGAGGGCTTCCTCTTCGAGTTGGCGTTGGAGGCGTTGTTGGAAGAAGTGGCGGACTGGTTGGAAGACTGGTCGGCGGGAGGGGGGAGGGTGAGGGTCTGGACGGGGTTTGTGGGGGAAGCAGGAGTGAGAGGGGCGTTGGGGGAGTCAGCGGAAGAGGGCGAGTTGCCGGAGGCGGGTGAGTTGAGAAGAGACATGGTCGTAGATAAAGCGATGGGCGTTAGGTGAGCGAAGGTGGGTCGGTGAAGATCGGAGAACGTGCAGTCTATCGGGTGGCGAGGCGGAGTGTTTTGGGCGAGAGGACGTAGAGTTACCGGCACGCGATTGCTCAGCGGAGACCGGGGACTAAGTGGGAGAGGAGGCGGTGTTGGAAGATTTGATATGCAGGTCGCGAGCGGGGCTCAGCGGACAGTTAGGGGAGGGCGGAGGTGAAGAGGGCGGCTGAGGGTTGGTGAGGACAGTCGCGAGCGAGGCTCAAGCGTACTGTAGGTCCTGTTGAGAGTGCGGGAGTGTAGAAACCGGCAAGGGTCGCGAGGATCTGCGAGATAAGGTAAGCATCGTCTCTCAAAGCGAGCACGACGGCGACGACAGCGAGCAACTCACTCCAGGCGTTGTCCTTGTTACGGCGAGGCTTATCGAGGGGGAGGAAGGCTTGGAGAAAGAGAAGGGGGCAGGCGCTCTTTCGCTCAAAGGACCATAGACGGTGGAGGACTGTGCTGAGGACGGGGCAAACCTACTCATTTCCCGTCCCGTACCGGCTACACTAATACCTCGGCGGACTTGCAATCTTAAAGCCCCGCTCGCACGTGCAAATGGTCACCAGTCACTCCGTCACTCTCCCCGATCTGCGCGAGATCTCTGCTCGACGCTTTGCGCCCACACGCGCCATCATCTCGCTTTGCGAACCCGCTCCCCCAGCACGGCGCAACGCTCCCTGCTGGCTCTCGTCACCACCCAATATCGTCTCCTTCTGATCTCCCACCGCCCGGATCAACTTCCTCCTTATCCGTGGCCAGCGAACTATCTCACCTGTTCGCTCACCATAGTGTCCGCCTCAGTTGTCTCCCGCCTCCTTCCAGACCCCCTTGCAAGCTATGCATCCCCTCGCTTGACTACTCCCATCAGCCTCCCCGGGCCCTCTAGTCTTGCAGCTGCATCGCCAGCGCTCGCTACCGACCACCATCTAAATTTGTTGCCGTACTCTACGCTTTGCTGTGAATTCAATTCCCCGATCTTCGAGCTTCGAGCTCGGACAACGCTCGAAAACTGCCGCACTCGGTCTTTTGAGCTGATCACTGCTTTTCCCCTGAGACGCTCGGTTAACGTAACACAGCGAACACCACGGTCTTTGCTTGTTAGAATAGACATCGTCTAGCTCCCGCACCCCGACTCGCATCCCATCAGCGCTTCACTTTGATCCTTCGATCCTGTGCTCTAACGCCAACTCCGTTCGTGACAGTGTTCAGTCAAGTTCACCGTCTTAGCGTCCATGGCAATTCCAGATATCCCCCCGCCTATCACTCACATGAATATAGTTCTCCGTACCCATCAATTCCCATCAATTCTTCTTCATTTCTTCATTCGCCTCCGTCTATGTACGATCGCGAGCGGAGTTGACCGCTATGCGTGATGGGCCTTGCAAGTATACGAACATCAAAACAGACATGACTTCGACTTCAAATGACCTGGATACAATATACAATAATTGAACTAAACTAATGTGTTACGACCCTGTTCAGGTCCTGCTCAAAGTTCATCCTCGACTCTCACTCTCACAGGCATCCGTCCCTCTTCGTCGACGGAAATTCATATTCGTTCGTTGGTGCTTCCTCGTACTAGTAAGTACTTACACCGCACCGCACCGATACCTACCTACTCGGATATCTCGATCGCGCTCTCTTTGTCCCGATCTACGCTCTTGGCCCTCATAATTGCAATTGGAGGTCGTCGAGCGATCTAGTATTGTGTTCGGCCCTGGATGGATGGTCGTGCAGCGATGGGTGGATTAGAGGAGAGTAGCTTGCTTGCGATTAGTTGGTTGTCTATGTAGCGGTTGGGTGGTTGGCTTGGCTAGTTATCTCGGCAGCCGGTGTCACTCTCTGTCTCAGTATCAATGTCAGTATCGACGATCTGCGTTCCGGCTCTCGCCACCTGTCTACCCGTCCAGCGTTGAACGTTCGTCACCATTCCCATTTCCATTTCCATATCCTTTATCCATCGTTCCTTGACCGCTGTTACATTATCCCTCGACCACGGTCCACCGTTACAATCGCCCATTTCGCCCAGTTCGCCCATTTCCATCGTTTCACCTTTCACAGTCCACTATCGTCTGCGTCATGATGCCTTCATGAGCTACCGCCTAGTTTAAGTTCCTGATTTATTGATTTTTGATGGGATGGGAGGAGAGGAGAGTCTAATCCGGAGTTATGTAAAGTACTTGCGTAGTGTACTGTACTGTACTGTACCGCAACTTGTACTACTGTGTAGGAGGTCCGTCGTCGTCCTCGTCGTCGTTGTCTATATCGAGCTGAAGCGAACGTATGATGTCCATGTCCACAGAGAACAGAGATACTTGTCGAGCACTATCCGATTGTGCATACCCACTTCTGGCGAATGCACACATACGCTCGAGCATCTCCCGTTCGTCCGTCCATCCACTGGCAGAATCGCTCCAACGTCACAGTCCCACTCCCATCCAATCTGAAAGTCTATCTAACCAGCCTCACACCGACGAGAAGAAACATAAGTAATCCGAATCATTTATGTACTCTAGACTATTGCGCAGGATGTGAAGTATGATATCGATGGTCCGAGGCCGGGTTAGCTCGCAGGACAGGACGGTGGGAAGTGGACGAGTCTCTAAGGCTGCAAGGACAATGCAGATCACCATCAATATCGACGGTCAGTATTTTCGGCAGCCGGACGGTTTTTTTTGTTCTGTTTTCTCCAACTCGACCGTCAATGTCATGGATGCTTACTAGTAAGTAGTAAGTAAGTAAGTAAGTGCTTTATGAACGTTCCATCCACTCTCACTCCCACTTCCCCTCCCTCTAACTCGATAGTATGACACTGATCCTGATCTCCGGAATGTCTGTGATTCATTTGATCCGTCGCCATGTTCAGTAATTCCTCCCCATCTCATCGTAACGATGTCGTTGACAGGAGCGGGCGCTGCCCATACCCATACCTATACTCTGACTCTCCGCACACGAGACATCGAGCGCGCCGCGGCGGATCGTGACTCTACTTCCGCTATTTGTTCGGAAGTTGTCGAACGCGAGGAGTGGATGGCCGGTCACAATGTCTGGACGGTTCCACGGTCCCTCTACCCTGTCTGGACATCGAATGGATGGATGGATGGATAGATGGTCACTGGCACTCGTCCTAATCTCGAGCTCGGCTCGAGCAGTCACTGGTTACGAGTAATATTGATGCTCTGATATAAGTAACAGTGATAGAGTGGCTCGAGTTCGGTTGAGTTCTGTGACCGACGACTCGGACGGCAGGTGTCCTTTTTGGAATCGTCCGTGTTGCTTGTCCTGTGATGGTTTTCGTTTTTGAGAAGAACGAACCGTAAAGTCGCATAAATAGTCGAGGGTAACGTGTGCCAAGAGGAAGTCACTTATGGCGATTTCCGGACGGTGAAGTGCGAGGGAGGCAATTGTGGCGGCATCCTTGCAGATGTCCGAGTTAGCGCCACTCGGAAGAACACGGAAGCGTCTGCTTAGTCAGCCCTGTTCGCGAGTCATGATGCATGATCAGCGCAGACGCCGTTCGTGTTCATCCCCATCCACCACCAGCGGCATCGTGCTACGAGCGTACGACGACCAAAAGACCGACACCTCCTTTCAAAAACGTACCGTCGAGGCCACACATCTAGAGCCTTGCGATTGGAAGTCACAGACGTGCCCTCTGATTCGATGATTCGAATGTTGCTTCAAGGATCTCGTACATGAGTTCGACTTGATTTTGCTCTACTCAGGCCGAGACGGAGCATGGTCCTCTCCGACTCGGTTTCCTCCTTGAGCGAGTACACACCCGCATCAACCTGTTCTCGGCCTTTCTACCCTATTCGTTATACAGCACGATGAACTTGGGATTTGCTGATCATGGTTACTTTTGTGCATCCGGTCTATGGCCAGGCTCCTCGAGTCCGATTCAGAGTCGTGTGGCTTCCTCGGGATGGAGTGGTTTCTTACCAACGGGTCTTGGGTAGAGCCTTGTAGGCCTGGTCTCGTCGGTCCTCTTGGTGTCTAGCTCGATCAGTTTATACATGTCTTGCAACTCTTCGTCCATACCTCGAGCATTCGTCTGTGCGATCCTTAGTGTCTTAGCTCACGATATTAACTGGACACCAGCATACACGACGGAGCATACACACAGAACACCTAATTCCGCGCATCGCAAATCTACAAAATAAGCAGAGCCTAGGTTGATTTGCATGCCTGGCCCGGCGTAGCCCCCATGGCCAAGGTACGCGACACCATCCGTTCCTCCTACGAACTTCCCTTCAGATCCATACTCAACTCAATCTGCTAGTCTCTCGCCTCCCACATAGGGTCGCGTTGAAGTATTGATGGCCAGGCTCGGGGACCTCATGCCTCGTCGACTTCGACACATGCGCATGCATCGCTGTGGGCCACACCGGTGCTCGCACTCGGTTCTGCAGATCCCAGCATGGAACGGTGCGTGGTACAACAAGCTGGTTAGCGGTTGCCGATTAACGATCTCATATCGTGGTTTTAGACTCGAAGACATCTCGGGATCGCCGTATTGCGCCAGCAGACAAGCATCTCAACATATAGGCGGTGAGCCACGAAGAGGCTCCCTCTACTCTCCAGAGCGGCTTCGAATAAGCGGTGGGTAAGCCTATATCCTGAGGCCCGCAACCTGCTGATCGTTATGTTGTTCGCTTAGTGCGACCCTCTTCGTTGGTGGAATACCTTGTAATACCGTGGATTCCTGGTGCGTAGTAACGGAAGTTACCGCACAAGGATCTTACTTACTGTCTCGTATCATAATATTATCATCGCCAGCGAAGCGAAATAGTAACCAGACAGTGTCCTCGCTACACACCTTGGTTCTTATGGCATTCCAGGCCGTGACTGAGAGTGTTAACATCGTCGTCGCCTTCTCCGGGTGTCCCATCGGGTCCGCAGTCTCAGTTGGCTGGCTTGCAGTTGCCGCCGTGCACAAGCCGAGGACCTCGATGCTCCTACAGTCGGACCATCTTTCTCATTCTCATTGCTTGCTCTATGATATTTCGTACAATACTTGATTCGTTCCCATCAAATCTCCCTCGGAACCGATCGTAAATCACTGATACGGTATCTTTTCGTCCTTGCCACCCATCTATCCACTCATATCCTAGCACTGAGATCATCATCCATCTCATCCAGTTCGCGATCTATACAGGCCAGTCACTCCCTGTCGAAACCCACTCTGATCCAGCATATAACGTTGTCTCATAATCTCCGTGGCTGAAAGGCGTCCTCCACGAGTCAGAACCTCGGCGTAATTCCAAGGAACAGGAAAGACAGTGGCCCCTGGGCTTCGATATCACTTGCGGCCTCGAGCCTATTCCGCGTCTTCTTTTTTTGATGCGATATTCAATGTTGATGAGGATACGACCGAGTTTTGATGCGTTGAGGCGGTTTTGATGCGGCTCCCCGCACTTTTGCGTCACGGTACCCCCGTCAGCGTCCGTGGGTTCATATCCGTCGTCG